AAACGCCGGCGAGATTAGCCGGGAATCGGCGCCGGCGCGCTCCGGCTCTCTTCCATGGCGCAGTGGGCTTGCCTCCCCGCCCGCCGCAACGGCGAGTCCGTCGCTGCTGCTCAGATTTTAAGCTTCAAAGACAGTAGAGTGCTCCCAGTGCGCCACCGGAGGTATGCTCTCTTCACATGGCAGTGGAGCGGATCAGCTCCATCGAGCACAAATTTATCAGTGAGGAGTATAATATAAATCTAATAACAGGCAGCGTCTAGAATTATTACAGCCGATTGTTCCAGGTGTAGGTGTAGCTGCCGCCCTAGTTTTTTTTCCCCACAAATATTTCCAGTTTCCATCATGGGTGAAATCGGGTCAACTTCTACAACCATAGTATACTGTGCAGTTTATCAAATTGGTATTGATTCAGTTACGACGAGCACCGAAGATCGATACATTGTCGATTAGATGTACAGCTTTGGATCTCCCAAACTCAGTGTAAGATCTACTCCCTCCGTCCACGAATAAGTGTACATCTAGCTTTTATTCTAAGTCAAAGTTTTAAAATTTTGACCAACTTTATAAAAAATAGTAGTAACATATATGGCATCAAATTGGTATATTATCAAAGTACATTTCAAAACAGATCTAGTGGTACTAATTTAGTGCCATAAATGCTTCTACTTTTCCCTAGAAAGTTGGTCAAAGTTTTAAAACTTTTACTTAAGACAAAAGCTAGATGTACACTTATTCGTGGACGGAGGGAGTATGTAATTAACGTTGTTTGTCTCTGATCTTGTCATTTCAGGGACTTCAGGAAAAATAGCTTGACCGGCCCTTTGCCAGCGTTCATCGGAGAACTGACTGCGCTGAAGTACATGTAAGGCTTTCGACTCAACACTTTTTGTGCATTACTCGTCTTGATTTCAGCCGATCTCACAGTCTTTTCCTCTAATGTCGCAAGAACCGTGGGCACCAATGCATTATCCGGACCTGTCCCAAAGGAGCTTTGGAATCTTACAGATCTCGTATCACTGTAAGATCAAATCTTGTCCTCCAATGAGTAATGTTTATTATTTGATAGTATCTTCCAATCATGTTTAATTTTGGATCATTTCTTGTATTAGTTGTACGAGTTCGGGTGTATAACCGCTCGCACAAAAGTGCATGACATTGTATACTGTGGGGATTGAAAGTTTGCATAGACAGCATAGCAACACTATGTCTAAGTAGAGCAATAGAGTATATTCTTTCATGTGTCTTCCTGTTCATGCAAATTGAAACAGTTGGAATAGAAAACCTAACAAAGCAGAGCATCTTTCTCATCAAATATCGAGCAGCATTTGAACTTGTAAACATGATTTAGTGGCACTTCCTTTTTAATATTGCTCTAGAGTTGACCTGGTTTATCTCGTGCTTTCAGTGCATTGGGCTCAAACCATTTTAACGGCTCACTTCCAGATGAGCTGGGAAAATTGACAAAGCTTCAGCAGCTGTAAGTAATCTATTTACTCACTTTTACATTGCCATTTGCACATGCCCGCATGATCATCAGTGTTCTCTGCATTGTCCAGATCGATAATAGTCTTCTTGAATGGAAAATGATGTATGTCTTTGGAATGTAGGTACATTGATAGTAATGACTTCACTGGTTCTCTACCAGCGGCGCTGTCCCAGCTTACAAACCTTTCAACCTTGTAATTTCCAAACCAAGATATCAGTGTAATTTATACTAAGGTTTCAACTTTCAACCAATAATCTAGGACACTCTTGTCATCGTGCATCCAGGTGGGCATCAGACAATAGTTTCACCGGGCAGATACCTGATTTTCTTGGGAGTTTGACCAACATGACCCAACTGTAAGATATATGTTCCACCAATCACCAACATTAAATGTTTCTCGAACTTTTTCTTGGCATAAATGGTAGCCAAGGGCATTAATAAATGGAAATGGTTTGCATTACTTCTTTACTAACAAAATATGTATGAGCTTGTAGGAGGCTCCAAGGGAACTCTTTTCAAGGACCGATTCCCAGAAGTCTTTCTAATCTTATCAAGTTGACAAGCCTGTAAGTTTTAGTAGTTTAAGTTTCACTAGCTGTGTTCTCATTGCAAAGATAAGCTTGTGGCACTGACAGACACATTGAGTGTCTGAATATAACAGGAGAATAGGCGATATTGTAAATGGAAGCTCTTCAATGGCGTTTGTCGGAAACATGAAATCTTTGGGTGAACTGTATGACACGTGCTTTTTACTTTCCTTCCCATGTTAGTGTAAGATCCTGATGATTAAACTATTTGACCTGCAGAGTATTGAGGAACGGCAAGATATCTGACACACTTGCATCAGTAGACTTCTCCAAATTTGTAAATCTGACTTTACTGTAAGCATTCTCCTTATCAGAAAAATCAGAGTCAAATGGAAGCCTTTCTACTATGGTATAATTTCAGTTAAAAGCACGGTACTTTGTTGTCTGATACTCCTTGTTCCATTGGTGCAGGGATTTGAGTTTTAACAATATCACAGGCCAAATGCCTCGGTCAATCTTTGATCTTCCTATGCTTAGTTATCTGTAAGCGCATTACTTTTTAGTGTTTTCTCATAATGTTTCTTTTGAATCATGTTTCTGTAATGTTTGCAAATATCCCTCTTCATCAGATTTCTTGGCAATAATAGCCTTTCGGGAAGTCTACCAGCCACGAAATCTCCGCTACTCGCCAATTTGTATGACCATATGCTCCTTGATTTTCACTTCATATTGGCCTCTACAAGAAAATATGTCTCGATCTACTTACTAATTTGTCGTGTTCATTTTCAGAGATTTTTCATACAACCACCTCTCAGGAAGCTTTCCTTCTTGGGTTACCCAGAAAAACCTACAATTGTATGCTTCATGATTATTACTGATTAAAGATACACAGCCAGTCTGATTGAATTAAGCAACAAAATCTGATTTTCACCCATCTTTTGTGTGTTGTGCTTAGGAATTTGGTGGCAAATGACTTTGTGATCGATAGCTCCAATAACAGGTACTTGCTGCATTTCATTTACTCCTGCCAAAATCATGTAGGAACAAATATTCATCTCAGTGTGTTTTTTGAAGAATAATATATCCATCTGAGCTTGTAAGTGGAATTGAAAAATATCCTTTTTCCCCATTTGCAGTGTTTTGCCGTTTGGGTTGAATTGTCTTCAGCGAAATACCCCCTGTTCTCTTGGCTCTCCGCACTGTAAGCTTTCAACTCTTTGCATCTTTTAGTACACTACAGTAATTTTAGACCCTTAATTGCAGATTCCCAAGTAAAGATTAGGGCATGTACAATGGTGCTATCTTAGGAGTGCCACGTAGGATAAATGATGAGGTGGAGGAGAGAGAACTCATAAGAAAAGGCTTGTCTTCTCTTATTTAAGAGAAGACAAGAGTCTTCTCTTATTTAAGAGAAGACAAGAGATGATCTCTTAGCACAATATGTCTCACCACATTTTTAGGAATAACTAGTTGAAGATAAAGCTAAGAGATGACCCATTGTAGACATTTTTTTTGTCATCTCTAAATTACATGCAAGACTTAAGATAAGACTATCTTATCAACCATTGTACATGCCCTTACTGTTTTGTAACTTGTGTGCAGCTTCCTCCTTAGCGGTGGACTGTGGTGGTAGTAGAACCATATCAGGCTCAGACAATGCCATGTATCAGGCTGATAATGCCAATCTTGGTGCTGCATCATATTATGTTGGGGGTGCACCTATCTGGGGTGTTAGCAGTAGTGGAAGATTCATGGACCCACCCAATGGAAGTTACATAATCTACAGTTCACGCCAATTTCAGAACACACTAGATTCTGGACTGTTCCAAACAGCAAGGATGTCACCATCGTCTTTGAGATACTATGGCCTTGGACTCGAGAATGGAAACTATACAGTGACACTTCAGTTTGCAGAGTTTGACTCCCCTGATCCACAGGCTTGGAAAAGCAGAGCGAGAAGAGTTTTTGATATCTATCTCCAGGTAGGTTAGGAGCTTAAATTTCTCTGTTGTCTGATATTTTTAGCTCATCTACTGTGAAACCAATACATTCTTTTGATTGGTGTTTGTATAGGGAGAGCGCAGGGAGCAGAACTTCGACATAAGAAAGGCTGCAGGAGGGAAATCTTTCGTTGTTGTAAAGAAGCAGTATGTTGTTCCTGTGGTAAAAAACTTCCTTGAGATTCATCTCTTCTGGGCTGGCAAGGGTACTTGCTGCATTCCTACTCAAGGCTACTATGGGCCTGCAATATCGGCTTTGAGCGCAACCCCAAGTAGGAACCTGAACTGGAACTTATTTGTTCTACACTGCCATCTTGAAGTCAAATTTGAACTAAAACCACGTCACTTATTATGGGACGGAGGGAGTACTTGTATAGCACAGTGGCCAGGGAAACATGTCATTGTAGTATCGATAGTGCTAGTGTTTTTCACTTTTACCACTGGTGTATTTAATATCTAAAATTGATGTGAAAGATACTTGCAATTTGAAATTAATAACCAATCTTTTTTGTGACTGTTTCCATTAAAAGGATTAAGTGGTACTCTGTAGTATAGTTCCTGCCAGTGTATGCTCACTGGTTGATTCATGTCTAAACAAGTTGAATGTCTTCTATTTCAACTGAAAATTAGCATAAATGTTGGAAGATCCATGATGAGGGTAGAAATTCTACATGATTCACTTTTGTATTTGATGTAATCATAACTGTATTAAATTGCTCCTCTTGCAATGCAACTAAGCATCATTCGATGTTTTTGCATACTCAAACTAAGTTAACTTTTTTCAGATTTCATCCCTACTGTGCATTACTCTGTGGACAGCAAGAGCAGCAATAAAACTGGTGTGATTGTTGGAGTCGTAATTGGTGTTGCTGTTTGTTTGCTGGCTGCTCTTGCTGGAGTCTTTGTATGGAGGCAGAAAAGGAAAAAAATGTTATTGGAGTTAGAAGGTACTCCTTGATATTCCAGGATAATATTGTTTACTTTGCTGTAGACAGAGTTATTCTAAGGATCATTTTTGTCTGTTGTGCAGAGCTGTACACTATAGTTGGAAAACCAAATGTATTCAGTTATAGTGAGCTAAGATCAGCCACAGAAAATTTTGATTCCAGTAACCTACTTGGTGCAGGAGGATATGGATCGGTTTACAAGGTTTGTTTGTTTTACTATATATCTGTACTAATTCAGGTGGGGATCCTCTCCCCCCCGGTGATTACTCAAAAAAAAAAACTATATATCTCTATTTGGTAAATGCTTAGAAACTGCTTGGTCATAATCTGAACTTGAACTTAGTATACATCATAGTCAGATGATATGCGTAAATTAATCATTTTCAAGTGTATTCATTTGCTAGAACCTTGTCAAAGCCTGAGCTTAATTGATTAGTGCAACTTCCTTGCAGGGTAAGTTAAGTGATGGAAGAGTGGTGGCAGTGAAGCAGCTCTCTGAATCATCTAATCAGGGGAAAGTTCAATTTGCTACAGAAATAGAGACTATATCAAGGGTGCAACACCGTAATCTCGTGAAGTTGTATGGCTGCTGCCTCGAGAGCAAGACACCACTGTTGGTTTATGAGTGCCTGGAGAATGGAAGCCTTGATCACGCACTGTTTGGTATGATTTCATTCAAGATCGACTATGACTCTGCTGTGTTGAAACTTAATTTTATAAAAATTAAAGCCCCTCAATGTTTATCTTCAGCAAAGGGAGGCTTGAACCTAGACTGGCCAAGACGATTCGAGATATGCTTAGGCATAGCAAGAGGTATAGCTTATCTTCACGAGGAGTCGAGCGTCCGCATTGTGCACAGGGACATTAAGGCCAGCAATGTCTTGCTAGATGCCGATCTCAACCCAAAGATCTCGGATTTCGGGCTTGCCAAGCTTTATGATGACAAGAAGACTCATGTGAGCACAAAAGTTGCAGGCACATTGTAAGTGCATCTCCATCGACGTGGCCCTCATGAGTTTGTCAAAGTTGTTTGTAAATGTTCTGACTGATTGGCTGGCTTTCCTTTTCCAAAGTGGTTACCTTGCACCTGAGTACGCCATGAGAGGTCACATGACTGAGAAGATTGATGTTTTTGCATTCGGCGTGGTAGCGCTGGAGATTGTTGCTGGTGAATCAAACCATCACACCACGCTTGAAGAGGAGACAACTTATATATTTGAAAAGGTAAGATCAATAAAAGCCACAGTACATTCGGGAGTTATATTTTGAAATGTTCTCGAAAGTAAAGCGACAGCTGTGCTTTGGTTGGTGTATTGTCGGCAAGATCTACAGTTGAAATTTGTACTACAATCACTGAAACTGTCGGATGTTTTCAGGTGTGGGATCTTTACGAGAACGGCAACCCCCTGGACTTCGTGGACCCCAAGCTCTCGAAGTTCAATAGTGAGGAGGTGCTCCGGGTGATCCGCGTCGCGCTCATCTGCACCCAGGGATCGCCCCACCGTCGGCCGTCCATGTCAAGGGTGGTGTCGATGCTCACGGGAGACGCCGACTTGGCCGGGGAGGAGGTGATCAAGCCGAGCTACATCACGGAGTGGCAGGTCAAGGCCGGGAGCAGCAGCAGCTACACGGGCACGAGCAGCCAGGCCGGCCTGTCGTCATCGTCGACCACGCAGCAGTCTTCCGGCGGCGGCCATGCTGCGGGTGGGGATGCCACGCCGGCGACCGGAAACCCGTCGCCGATGTTCACCTCCATCATCGACGAGGGCAGGTGAGGTGCGTGCACGCGCCAAGGTGTTTGTTACGTAGTTGTCATTGTCAGGTGGTAGTATGGGCGAAGGAGAGTATTTTTATTTTCTTCTGCCGCGAATGCTAAATTATTTTCCTGCTGTATGAATGCAATAGCTTCCCAGATACTCCCTCCGTTCGGAATTACTTGTCTCGGAAATGGATGTATCTAGAACTAAAATACGTCTAAATACATCCATTTTCACGACAAGTAATTCCGAACGGAGGGAGTATATGTAAGCAGAAGATCTCCTTGCACATGCTCTACATGTACAGCACAGGACAATGGGCCCCATTGTCATTGACTTTGCAGTGATACTATGCACGGGGTGTCTTAATTACTTGATCTTCCTATGGTTCTGTAGGTGCACATCACATCTATTTATACATCAGAGCTGAAACACTTTGTCCGGCAATTCAAGCTTGTTGTCTTATACCTTTTTCTTCAGATTTTGTAGTCTCCGAGAGTAAGCACGGAAGAGGAAGAAAGAGAGAGCACAAGAGCACTAGGAGTGGGAACATGGAGGAAAGCTTACTCTTCTGTTTTCACCTCTAGTGTTGGAGGTGCAAATATTCAGTTTTGTGCTTTTCTGATGTCTCCCATTCCTATGGTTCTTGAGCACTCTTCCCTCTTCCCTTTGGCTTGCGCAATAGATAAATTCACAAATCGTAGATATGTATGCACATACTTAAATAATCTGAGATCTAGCTAGAAGGCTAGTCGAGAAGAGGAAGAAAAGAGAGCCTGAGAGCAGTGGGAATGGGAACATGGAGGAAACCCTAACTTGCTTTGTTTTCACCTCTAGTGTAGGAGGTGAGAATTCAGCCTGGTGTTTCCCGATGCCTCCTATTCCTATTGTTCTCAAGCACTCCTTCCTTTTCTTTTGGCTTGCTTGGTTGCTTTAGCGTAGAAAGAAAATATGTGCACACATATCCGATGTGAGATCTCAAAAGTGAGCTAGGAAGAGGAAGAAAGAGGGCCCGAGAGCGGTGGGAATGAGAACATAGAGGAAAGCCTAACTTATTGGTTTTTCATCTCTTGTGTTGTGATGGGAATTTGGTTTGGTATTTCCCGATGCCTCTCATTCCTATCGTTCTTATGCACTCCTTCCTCTTCCTTTTTGTTTGCTAAATTGCTTTGGCAGAAAAAAAACATATATGTGCAAATATATTCATGTTATATGAGATGTCCAATGTGAGACAGGAAGTGAAAGAAAAAAGGGCCTAAGAGCAGTGGGCACGAACATGATGGAAGGCTAAAGACCTTAGATCCTTGTTTAACAGAGGCTTTGTTTTGAGTTTTCATGTTGCCACACATGCCTATTTTTTTAACCCTGGCACCCATGCCTATTGTTCTTTGGTTCTCCTTCCTCTCCATTTTGGACCACACAACATAAAAAGGATTCATAGTATTAAAATGATTTTGTTCAAGTTCATACACCCTGCATAGTTAGATTGCTATTTTTTGTCTTTGTTTCTCTGGCATGCCTTAATCCATTCACAAGATAAGATGTCGGCTTAACAGGCAAATTGCTTTATACTACATGATAATTTGGTACTATTGTTTCATTTGTAAGATTCTACTTGCACCATGAAACACACCAAGACATTTAATATACCTGTCAGATAGTGCATACATGAAGTACACATCGCTATATCTAGAAAAGGGCCAGTTAGTTGTAGAAACATAAATAAACACACTTTCAGGCTTGTTAAGATGAGGCGCACAGCTTTAATACATACAATGATGCAGATTCTTCACTAGTTCCCTTATACTGAACTCATGATGTAGAGAAAATCGTATCAATGACACGCCAATGCCAACCACTGTAGATATGAGTCACAGCAGAAATTAGAGTGGCAAAGATGAGAGTCAGCTCATAAAACATGTAACAACACATGCATTGCAACTTGTTTTTAGCATCCACCCTATAAAATGATCTAAATCAGCAAATTGTTCCTAAAGACTTCACACATGCACATAGCAAACTAATGGATATATACGCAGGCTAGCAAGGAACAACCGATTCAAAAACTCTAAAATCCAATGGAATTTGTACACGATCATAAAATGATGTTTTTTATAGATTGTTTATATGTGTGAGATAAGGGCCCACTCTTGAACCTCGGTGGCTGTTTGTGTTGCAACGGTGATTTGATCCTTCAAGTCATGGTACAAGGTTGTAACTGGGAAGTCCTTCGATGGGTGGAAGAAGTAAAGAGATATCTAAGGATCTCGTTCTTTGTGTCTGAACGTTGTCCCTGAAATACTAGGTGGTTCACCATGTTGCTTAGGCAATCCATGTTGAACCGATGTCTACAATGAGTTTAGACTTAATATATGATCATTATACCTTCATGTATTTTCCTCATAGGGGTTGTGGCTAATGATTTCCTTAGAGATACATTTTCCTATTTTCCCTCCTTCCATGTACATTGTTGTGTACAACCTTCAGAATTTGGATACTAAATTACTTATAGAACAATAGCCCTAGCCATATACACATTTTCTCTGTTGATAAAATGACATATATACATTTGGTTTTACTACTATGATATCTCTAGAATCATGGACTAATTATATTTTTCCATTTGTAATGGTGTACATCGGCTCTGAAATACCTTGTGTAAAAATTTATTATCACTTCAGTGCCCCCCTCCCCATTGTTCTATATTGTTTTCAAGTTTACTTGTTTAATTTTTCCAGGTTCATATTATTTTATCTCATGACTTCTTATTGCTACACTTCTTCATACTGTATAAATGCGCATGCCGATATGGATATTATGTACTAGTTTTAGATATGGTTAACAGGGTAAGCAAAAGAGATTTGGATTCACTTGCTCTAATTTATGAGTAGAGGACAATAGGACAGGGCTCCGTGATTATGAGGCCCCACCATCATTGACAATACAATTATGCCCCATGCACTCCCCTATGGTTCTCCATATGGTGCACCACCTGTTATTTATGCCTCAAAGCTGAAACACTTTGTCTAGCAATTCAAGCTTGTTGTTTGAGAGTTTTTGATTCGTTAGATTTGTAGGCTCCGAGAGTAAGCATGAAGAGAAGGAAAACCCTCCTTGTTTATTTGCACCTCTAGTGTCGGAGGTGCAAATATTTGGCATGTATCCTTTCTTGATGCCTCCCATTCCTATTGTCCTTGTGCACTCCTTCCTCTTCCTTTTGTCTTATACAATAGCTTTGATCGAGAAACAATAGACATGTCATGGTATTTCCGCGGCAGATGTCCTCATAGGACTTAGTCGCGAGGCCATCACGTCGAGTGGTAGATCAAAGGGGTTAAGTGGACACGAAGGACACGAGGGTTTATACAGGTTTGGCCCATCTTGGAGAGGTAAAAGGCTACGTCCTGTTTTGGGTGTATCAATTATGATCTCGAGGCTCAGGTGCACTAGGCCAACCCTAAAGCTCGAGAGATTGTCAGTCGACCCCTCCAACCCGGGGCTCCCCTTTATATATAGGTAGAGGCTTGGGGTCGTACATGAGAGTCCAAGATGAGAACGAGTATACAACTTGTTCCCTAAGTAAAGAAAACACATACATGGCGGTTTACAAACAGGCCTAGGCCAACACGCGATGAGCCGACCCAGCGGAGGGCGGCTCCTCCTCCTCCTTATGATCTTCAGTAGAATACAACCTAGCTCCTTGTAAGTCACGGTTGGTTACCCGACCCTGGACGGGCGGGTCATATCCCTGGGTCATATCCCCAACATTAGCCCTCAAGCTGATCTGAACTTGTTCTTTTCAAGCTTCTGGATCGTATTACTCTGAGCGAATCTCTCGCATTGTGCCGGTTTAAAAGCCAACTCGCTCAGTCTTCTTTGACTCGCCCCTTGAAAATTCTGTGATGTCATTCAGCAAATCGTAACGAATCACTCATGACGTCACCCATACCATGAGTGGATCTGACAGGCGCGATAATCGAGGCATCCGCTGGCACTGTAGATCCTAATGTTTCGCGTCTGCCTTTTGCAATTCCACCTCCTTTTTAATACCCCCCTCAGGGTTTCATTTCTCTTTTGCCGCTTCTGCTTCTTCTCCTTCCTCTCTCCATCACGTCCAAAGCTCTGCCGCCTCCCACCGAGCTCGTCGAAGTCCATAGTCCAAGCATATCCGGGGGTGTCATCGCAAGCCGCTCTCGACCGCACGAGGGTCTCTCCCCCGCAATTCAGGTACTTATCACCGTCGACTTGGATTATTTAAAAAAAACCAAACCTAGTTCGTCGTGTTCTTGACTTTGACGGCACCGCCATGAATGTCGCGGTCGCCTTTGGTCGGCCATGCCACTGCTTTTATCTAGGGGAAAGTCTTTCTCCTTTGTTCGCAGTCGAAAATAGATTTGATATAGTTCATTAGGTCTGGAGATGCAAACCATACTATCCCACTATTCCTGCAAATGAACTCATTAAGAATTGCTTTTATTTCCCTTTAAACTGAATATTCAGATTTGTGATTTTTTTCCACTTTGTTTGAAATCTGTTGTTGCAACACTTAGTGAATATTGGCACCCTCCGCCACAGAACGAGCTGCCCCTCTGACTAGGGCGACTGGACATTGCAAAGTTTCCCAACAATTGACGTTTACTTAGTATTCTTATCTGTAAATCTGCTCTTCCAGGGTTCCCTTGTTGTAAGGGCATATTTATCCCCAAGATGTTTTGGTGATTGATGACAATGCTTGTGCGGACTAATCGTGTGCGTTCAGTTCTTTCAGAGATTCATCCTTTGGCACGAGATGGTTATCTCCCCTCGGTGTTTTATTCAAGACGGTGTAGCTCCTTCGTTTCGTTGTTGGTGGAATAGTTTCCTAGGAGTCACCGTACTATCAAGAGGGGATCCGTTTTGGTAAGACTAGGGTGGAATCAACACGTACACATCCATTTCACACCCGTCGTTTTCTTTCCGCTTCATTGGAGCTGCCTTTTTCCCCTTAGTATGCTTTGCTCTGCTCCAGCGGTAGTACCACGATCCACATCGGTAGTACCGCCGAAGCACCACAACAGTAGTACCGCTCCCAGAGCGGTAGTACCGCTCCAAGCGGTAGTACCGCTCTCCGAACGGTAGTACCGCTTGGGGTCTTCGGCCGTAGTACCGCAGTGCTTCCAGGCTACTGCCGCCTCGATTCGAGAACGAAGTTTTTTGTGTCGGGTTTTGCGGTACTAAGGGCGGTAGTAGTGGCGGTACTACCGCTCCAAGCGGTAGTACCGCGCCTACCCCCACGGTAGTACCGCCCTGGGGTCAGGGCCCTGTCAGCGCGGCAGTACCGCTGGGTATGAGCGGTAGTACCGCCCTGAGCGGTAGTACCGCCCTTCCCTAGCGGTAGTACCGCTCTGTGCGGGGCTGCTCAGTGGGATAACGGTTGGATTGATTCCCCCT